CCGGCCGCGCGACGGCATGGCACAGCGAACCGAGTGACGTTTAAATCATTCATGACACGATTCAATAATGTAAAAACGTGCGACGCCGCCGTAGAATTCGGGTCAGATTCCCGAAACGGTTGCGACCTGACCCCGCGACGACGAAGAGATGCGCGAAAAACGACGAGGGACGATTCTTCGATACGAGAAACGCACCCAAAACGGATCGTGTCGAGCGATAAAAACTTTATTCACGCACGCGGCAGATATATACGCCTCTGCACCTTGTTTCGTAAGGATTACGATCTCGTAATCCTTTGCCAGAGAGATGAAGGTTCGGAGGGGGACACCACCTCCGATACCGACCGTAAGGGGCTCGGCAAGGTTTACGCTATAGGATATATAGATAATGAAAGGTTTTGCTCACTTGGGTAGTGATCGTCCTCGGATATGTCGGTGGGCTCCGGGGTCGAGATGTTCTCCTGCAACAGATAGAAAGCCACCGTTAGGTACTGAAGCGTTTTCCACTCGAGTCGTGCTATATAGCAGTCGAACGGTTTCGCCCTGGGCTGCAAGGTACGAAGGCGAACGGGACGGAACTCTCTCGCGACGTGTTTAAAAATTCGTGAAACTCATTTTCCGCAACTGTCCGTTATGATAATACCGCGCGAACGCAGCCGCCGCGTAACCGCATCGTTACGCAGGGCCAGATGCTTCGCGGCCTTATTTAGTCTTGCTATGCAACCTCCATGTCATTTTTACAAAAGTGTTCTTTAAATATTAACATAGAGAATGAGCAAATTCGTTCTTGATTAGTCCAAAATTTTATATAATTGACGCAGTACATGTGACTAAATATACATGTGTGTGAAAATCCGTACTTATTTTGTCATGTAGGTTAATATAATATAACATTCTTTTCAAAAAAGCTGAGTTATATGAAGCTCAGTTACATAAATTATGAAAATATAGTAATATTAACCATTTATAGTAAATGGTAAATAAATAGTAAATGTAGTAAATATTATTTTATTTTTTTTTTACTTTATATAATTTATTTAATGTTCTTATTATTAATTTATAATACATAGTTGAAGTCCTATTGTCCTTAAATTTGTATTTAAATATATATAACTCTTCTAGGAATTATAAAATTAATTTTTGTATAGAACTAAAAACTGTACTATATCGAGATGCATCCTCATTTACTTTCGTCTTCGAACCTAATGACTTGCATTCAAAGAACTATTTCATTAGAATACCATTTAGTGATGCCAGTGATAGTACCGAGTATTGCTCACAAATGCGATTTTATTGAAGAATTTTTGAACGTACACTTTTTAAAGTCCCATAAACAATGTTTAATTAATTATTATGGCATGATGTTTCATTAAAAACAAAAGAAGTTGTCAGAACTATTTCATTTCTTCTCTATATATTATATCTAATATTCTATAACTATATAGTTATATATAATAATAAAATTAAGTATTTTGTATTGAAGTCATTAAAGGTTTGTTTTTGTTTTTTTAATATATTATTCCTTAATTAATTAATTTCTTTAATTATATTTTGCATATTTAAATTTATTTATATATATATATATATATATATATGAATGAAACAAAATTCAATAGAATTCAATAAGTTCTTACTATATTGAGTCGCGGTATAAGATATTCAGTCAAGAAGAAGCTATCGAAGGCTATTCGCGTTACCATACGCCCACAGGAAGACCGTGGACTTTATTGTCCCAGATCAAGAGCCGGCGGCGACTCGCGATTCGTCGAAACGCAAATTGCTTACGCCTCGGCGTTGCGTCGCGTTGCGTCGCGTTGCGAAGGTGACGCACGTCGAGAATCTCGGATCAGTAGCGCAAACGAGCACCGCCTCTCAACCCTTTCACGATCAACGCGGTCAGTTTGTCTCCAGCTTAAGCACCATGTATGCGCGTGTGTATACAAAAATCTCCTCTAAACATAGTCTGGCGAAATAGGATCGTCTACTGAGCGAGAAATAATTATGCAGACACCGCAATTAGCTTTACGTTCATTAGGAAATTATTAATTACCGCGCACATGTCAAAAAAAATGTTCTGACATAACTCCCTTTCGTAATAACGCATAAATGTAAGTATATGCATAGATAATGGCCGTTATAACGGATCGTTATAACGGAAAATTAATTCATAAAATCATCATCTTTTCCGTAAGCTTCTACTTTCGCTGCAGCAACATCATGATAACGCACGTATATAAATTTTATTATATATTCGATAACACACTGAGAAAAAAGTGTTTGACATTTGAGACTATAATTGCATGATAAAATAATTATAGATAAGAACTCTACTTTTATTGTAATTATAAACGAGTATAAATTATAGTCGTTTTCGACGCCAAGTATATATTTTTTGATATATAGAACTATATAAGTACATTCTCTAAATTTTTTCGAGTTCGGAATATCACTCTAAAGAGTGAGATTTCATTTTTCAGAGTGAGATTCACTCTATAAAAGTTTAAAAAACAATTATTATTAGGTACTATCATTATAGCAGAAATAACTATAAAAGTGGCGTTCTTAATCATAATTATTTTACTATGCAATTACCTATAGTCACAAATATGAAATACTTTTCTCTCAACGCATTTCCTAAAACGTAAGTAACGTAATGATTACGTTATTTTTGACACGTAAGCGGTTTTCTGCACGGCTCGTTTTCAAAAAATCATCCTCTGTTTACGCCACTGGCCGAGATCGAGTGGTCAGGGTCGTTTTGAGGGAATAAGGCCGAGGCTCGTCGGACAGAGGATCACCTCTATATGGTCGGGTCGTTTTTCATCGAAAAGAGCAGTGCGAAGCATTCTCCGCGCTCCGTGATATGGCATCGCCTCGCGCGCCGCACTCTAATCGATCCACCGGTCGCGGCGAGTCATAGCGATCTTCCAGGCTCTAGCGGCGTGATTCTATCTTACTTTGATTGATTTTATCCCGATGAAATTAACGGGTTTTTCCCCGTTGAAACGAACGGCCGGTCGGCCTGCCGGCAGTTTCGCAAGGCATGCACTACGTTAGTCTGAGCGATGCCTGGGCCGACTGGTTCGCTCACAATCAGTGTGTTGCTGCAGCGGCGGCGCAGTCTCTTCTATCTGTGTCAGGTCTCGTGTTGCAACTCCAGAAGGTCGACCGGTATACAACGCGGAGAGCACGGCCAATTGATACCGGCCACAACTTTGTCCAGCGGGCTTGTAGGACATAGGCGGCGTGCGAGCGCGTACGATGCATACATGTCGGTGTGGCGCGGCGCCGCAAAAACTTCTGATGATGTAACCGAGAAATTCCGACGAGCCCGGCATCGTTCGCGCACGAACGTGGAAATCATGAGAAGCGACGTGGAGATCCAATCGCGACGAAATGTCGCGCTGCGCCACGCTTTTTTTTACGACGAATGGTCGCCTTCTGCGTGCGTATGCGAAGGGAAAGGGGGACGAGTCTGCGAAGGATATTCTTGGTATTCTACGATAAAAAAAATATACTTTACTGCACATTGACGATTTTACAGTTACGTTTGAATACAGGAACAAGCAAGACGCTTGCATGGTGTTCCGAAATATTAGGAATTTTATTCGCATCGCTTTATTTATGTTGATATGTATGATTTCGTTTATATTAATATAGGACGTTAAACTTAAAATTATTAGATGAGATTATATCTTATTAGATTTTAATAAATTTGGTATGTCTTATTGGTACACTAACTTTATTCCTTTGTTTTATTGACCTTGACTCTCTCCATTTTAGTTAAAATTATTAGTTATATAATTATAATTTATAAATTAGTAAGTTTTTTTACCCGCTTATATATCTAAGCAGCTTTTTCATTTTGACATTCGGTGAACCCATTCTTGATAATATATGAATATGAATTGGATATATATTTCTTTTTTTAGTTATATCAATTCTTTATTTCCACACCTTGTTTTTAGTGCTAACTATGTTTTTTCGGGCGAAATGGATTGATGGAACGGCGTATTCAGAGGTTCATATTAGAAGCCGGGCACAGAATCTGTTTAATAATCGGTGGAATTTATTGGCTGGACGTCTTGCTCTATTTTTCTCTCTCTCACTTTCCTCTCCTCTTTCCTCCCACCAACTACACTGTTGATTTCCAGCTGCGCACTCACGGAAGGTTATTTTAAGAATCTTTCATTAAGAATTTAATATAGCATGATTTTCGCGGACCTGGTCGCGGAAGTATCTATAGGTATCTATCGATTATGAATCCCTTTTGTAATCCGAACCGAAGAGTCAGATGAGAGAAAGATTAAGGTCCAGATGGGAGCGTACAGATAAAACCTGAGATATAAAATAGAAATGCAGGTGGAAAATAAAACTTCCATCGCAATTTCGTCTCAGCGGGAAACTCTCGGATGGATTCTAGTGATCTATAAGGCCCCGCCTTTGCGATTTCAAGAATCGCCTTGCGATCAACTGTGCCGCGCTTGTCCCAGAGGTCTCGATCTCACCGCGGCCAATCTCGCTCGGCTTGGCACACCGTCAAGGTGTTTGCCATTAAAGATAATCGCGGCGGGTTACCTTCTGGGAAGGAGTCGATTGGCGACGCGCAGATCGAGCTCCGCAGCGGTTTCTAGTAATTGATACCGTCGATACGATCGTTACAAGTTATCCTGCACGTCAGGATATCTGCGAATTGTTGCGTTTAATTTACGACAAGGACGCGGAGGCGACGGAGCGATATAGGAAGCCGCGTGGAACTCACGTTACACACGCGGAACTCGCCGTCCGACAAACGGTACTCGGATAATACTCGAGTGTTATATATCGTATATTTTTGAAGCGCTATATTTTTCACGGCATCAAACTCATTTCTAAAATAGTAGGTGTATAAATAAGTTCCCACATTTTTTTCGAAAATATACTCTGAAAAAACTTACTAAATCATAATATATATTTTTTCAATAAATATTTAATATCAACTTAATATTTATTTACCATAAATAAATATTTATTCAATAAAAAAATAATAGTTAAAATCAAATTAAATTCTTAATATAAGTTTTAAATATATACATAAATATATTTACATTTAATAAATATATTTAATACCCTAATAAAATTCTTATTGTTTAATGAAATGATCTAATAAGATTCTTACTGTTTATATTTAATACTATTCAAACAAATATTTACTTTCTAAAATTTAGTACATTTTTTTCGGTGCATTTATTAATATAAAAGAAATAGTACAAACGTTTCAACTAAAATATATATATTTGCCTTTCGAATCTATCACCTTTAGCCATCTTTCAGACAGCATACGGATGCCGCGGCAAAAGAATGCTTATTCACAGTGCGATTTATCGTTCATCGAAATCACTTTTAAATCTTTTAAACCAATCTTGGTACGTTCTTTCCGACACAATATTATCTCCATAAATCTTACAAATTATTCTGGTTA